ATATATATATATATATATATATATATATATATATATATATATTTTGTAACCTGTCCTATACATGCATGCATGCATGCATACATACATACATACCCACATAGACATACATAGATATCTACATACATACATACATACATACATACATACATACATACATACATACATACATACATATACATATGCATATAATCACCCTTAAGTCACAACTGGCATATGTTACTAAATGCAACCAAACAGATGCTAGATATCATGCATACCTAAAACTAACTTCAATGTTTGGAATCTATGAAGAAAAAGATACCTCATAAAAACCAATTGAATATGACAACAAATTTGGTGAGTGTCCATATGACTAACACTTCTATGTCTAGAATGTATATAGATATCTTGTCCTGCACCAAGTTCTTAACTCACTTCAAGAGCTGAGGATGCCAGGTGCTTGGTCATCACACAGGTAAGGAAGGGAGTTTCCAAATATAATATCTAGATCTTGGCATCCATTGCTGTATCTGAATACAATCTTCCTATATTACAAATATTCATTCGCATTACTACAACCATTTTTCCGCCACTCCCCAGAGTCAGCAGTGGTGTCTCCCATACATAGGGAAAACATTAATCCTTTCTTCCAGTTAAGTTCTCTCTTGCATTCCATGCCAATGACTGCTATTGCTGGCCAAAGTCTGTTGTGCAGCTTTTGCTTTGCAGATGCTCAGATTGAATGCAGCAATGCAAAGGTTGATTTCTAACAGTCTCCAATTGAAAGGCGGCTTTTCAGGTAGCTGCTGCTGGTTGCTCATGTGTCTTTCCCTCTCTCCTTTTTTCTCTCACCCCTTACTCTTCTTAGGCTGCTGTCCCAGAAGTACAAGATCCATCCAACTGATCCTTTCATGAAACTTGGATGGAAGTCCACCCCATAACCACCAGCAGCAATATATAGGATTCATTCGTGCTGTTTTCTCCATGGAACTATGCTCTAGATAGGTTCTGTACCTATACTTTTGCAGATTCCATGAAACATAGTTAGGCAACAAGTGAAGGTATTTCAAACAAGGAATTGAGGCCATTGAGAATGAAGAATCTGGTATCTCATTGTTTGACAAGCCACAGAAGTTCTTCTGGAGAGACCAATTTGCAACTTTACAACGTGCCTATCCATTTCAGGTTCTCTATCCCAATAAAAGCTTTCATTTTGCCACATGTATTTTTTTTGTTTTTTGTTGCTAGGTTGGAATAAATAGGTATCAGTGTGATACATCCCAGCAGGACCTGGCGTAAGTTGGCCCCCAAATGAAATTGTGAGGCAGGAGAGTTCGCAACCATCTGCCTGGCCTGTTAATGAAGATGTACAAAGATGACAAGTTTTAGTGTCATGACAGAGGAGGCAATCTTGTGGAAGAGATGCTGAGATAATTGGCACATCGATAACATGAATTTATAGAGAGGCTTTTCAGTGTTTTTTGGCTTTAAATGTGTTATTTTCTATATGAAGACATGGAGCAACACTGAGCTAAGGTTATTTCTGCTGGTATTTCATCTTCATAGCATCAGTGACTTGGCTCAGCATGAAATAAACATCTATCCCGGTTTCAAAAATCCATTTTCAATTTTGGGATGTGTATCTATATGTACGTATATGTACAGAGGGAAAGAGAGTTTTAGGGAAAAGCCTGAGACAATGCCCAGATATAATATTTTCACAGACATTGTCTGTACTACAAATGACACTTTTTTTCTGAGATACAATTTATTACCATTGGCAAGAGATCAATTCTTGCACCTTGCATTTATCTCTATCTATGAAAACCACAAAAACAGTGTTTTCCTCGAATTTCAAACTCTATCAAAATATAAACAAAAGTGGAAAGCGTGGGTCTGCAAAGTATATTGGGTAGTTGAAAATAAACAGCTAACTACTAATAATGCCTCACAAGAGCCAGTTTGGTAGAATGGTTAAGGCATCGTGATAGAAACCAGAGGACTTTTAGTTCTAGTCCTGTCTTTGGCACGACGCTGGGTGATATTGGGCCAATAACTGGGAAAGAGTCAATGGTAAACTATTTCTGAAAAACCTTGCCAAGTCTACTGCAGGGACTTGTCTAGGCAGCTTGAGATTTGGACACAAATGAATGGAATGGGGAAAAAATACCTCAGTCATCTACTTGCCTTTTCATTACAAAGATCCCCGCTGAATACCCGGACACTTGGAAAAACTGGATAATTGAAGAAGCATTCCAGAAGAGGACATATTATTCCAACATTATAAAAAAAAAAATACATGGAGACTTAGATTACCAGGAGTCAATATTGGCATGATGAAGATTTCACTTTTCTTTCTTAAAATTGGATTTAAAATGTGATTGTTCGCCCTGAAGAATGCATTTGGGAAATGTAGGTAACAAAGTTCATTATTAGGGTAATTTATTTATTTATTTTTAAAAAAATCTCAGAATGTGTGTTAACAACTATATAACTATTGCCTACATAAATTATGGATGTTAAGGAATGTTGTAACTTTTACTGCATCTTTTTTGCCATATTTAAAGTTATGTATGTGAAAAAAAACCTGTAGATTAAATTGATATTGATCTACATATTTATAAAATGAAGTCAACTTAATAGGTTCTAAAATGCTTTCATTTCATCCTTTCTGATTTCCAAGTGATGGATTATATGTAGCCATAGAATGCAATGAGGCACTTTGCTACAAGTCCCCAAGCTAAAGGCAAACTTCTAATTGTAATTAGAATACAATCAAAAATAAAAGACAATATCTAATTACAATCAAAAATAAAAGACGATATCTAATTACATTGAAATTGCTCTCTGCTCATTATCTTAGGAAGTTACTATTACATCTATGGACAAGATATATGTGAATAGTAGCAGTGCTCAATTATTATATAGAAAAGCAAGACATGGGGAAAAGAAATGTTCTCCACGGTGTTACTGCCTGTCACTTTAAATAAATATTTGTATATTTAGTTTTCTAAACCACTGTAGTCATGTGACTCTTGGCAATATATAAAAGAAATGAACAATATATAATCATCAAATATCAATAATATAACTACAAATGTAAAAGTTAAAAACCACTAACATGCATCAATATAAACCTCAGAATAAGCACTGACTTAACTTCTAGAATAGTAATTTAGTAATAATAATATCAAGTCTAATGTAGCTTCTTTTGGGAAGGCTGTTCTATAACATAGGCAAGATATACTTACTTCACCTATACATTTCACGAACTTATTACCTTTTTGCTGTTTCTTCACTTAGCAGAAGAAAAGCCATATATTGTGGAAAATAATTCCAGGGAATTGACACTGCTCTTTGATAACACTGTATTAGTTAGAATGTCTTTTCCAACTCTTTTGTTGCATAACAAAAGAAAAATGGATCTCCATGCCTGCTGAATGTAATAATTGTTTGTTCTGATCTTAAATATATTATGTGAAAGTAATTTATATCTGTCAAGCAATACACATTGCCATATTAGTGTGTGAGAGGGGGATTTCACAACTTTTTGTCTACTCTGTTTTAGCACGTTGGGTCCTTGTTCTACCTACAACTTGTGATATTGTTCTAAAAAAAAATGCTGCATGTTGGAAAATATTTTCAAATCACCGAGCAGGAACTTGAGACTCTTATCTTCTGGTTGATTTTGAAACATGTTTCGAACGTTATTAAGGAATAGAGCATTACAAAAGGAATGCAATAATAATAGTTTGTGTGATAATAACTCTTACAAAAAAAATGTGCAATATGCCTCTGTTTTTTTCTGTTGATTTTACTTTAAGTGAAACTGGATGGGTATACAGCTTAATGTGTAATTATGTCTAAATTAATTGGTTTTTGTTTAATTCCTTCCACTACTTCTCAAAACAGTATGGTGTTCCAAATCAAACTTTGTCCTTGTTTTAGATAAAATTGAAGATGAATTGGAAATTGCAACAGTATGTTATCGACCAGAAGGATTAGAACAACTTGAGGCACAAACCAATTTCACAAAGAAGGAACTTCAAGTGCTTTACAGAGGATTCAAAAATGTAAGATGGTAAAATATAGTTATTATAAACTGACCAGTAAATCAGAACATAAGTGGGAATTAAATCCTTCTTTAGGTCTAAAATCCGACAGATAAAGTGCTATTGTGCCTATTTTTATTGTCATAAAGATAGATTTAAATGGAGGCCAGGCTGAAAACATGCAGCTCACCTGTTAAATGTAGCCTGTGTTATAATTTTCTCATGTACATAATGAATGACTTAATAGCTCTGTTAGCTGGCAATTTCAACCAAGTTCTTTATTGTTTCTTCATTGTGTCGAATTAGATTTGGGACAGTCCATTGTTACTTTGGGATATCTTGTAAACATTTTGTATTTCACAATTGTGATCATATCCCATTCAGATCATATCTTTTTTATTAAAAAAAATTCCAAGCATTTGAAATTAATTCCTGAACAGATAAACATATCTGTACCAATTGTTTGGTACAGTCATTAAGTCATTAAGTTATTAAGAATGAATGACTTAACAAAATTCCAATTTTCACTGAAGTTCTCTTTTCCTTCCATAGTATTATGAAGCTGCTTTTTTATTGGGGGTGGAAGGCAGATGGGATAATATGTTAAATTTCCCCTTCTTTCCTCCCTCCCTCTCTCCTTCCATTCTTTCGTCAAATCCAACTTTCCATTATTAATTAATGGAGTCTTTCCATTGCTTTCCATAGTGATAGCTCACTGTTCAAGCTGCATATTAAAAAGACTCACACTAATTAATAATTTCATTCTGCCACATTTTTTTGAAATTTATACAAAAGGTACAATTGTATTGTTTTCACTGTGTATATTATTAAATGTAGTGGATTCAGATGGCGAGAGCCCAATTTAGGAAGAAAAAAATGGATAGATATGTTGCAATTTATCTTAGTCAAAAAGCCTACAGTTTGTGGAGCTGTAGGTATACACAATGTGCTGGACTGTTGAGATTGTGAAGAAACACATGACTATCAGATCATATTTCTACTTCAGCAATGAACCATAAGTATCATTCACTGAAATATATTAATTTCATAAAAAGTAAAATGTTTCATAACAGTAATGTTTATTGATAAGGTGTGTAGTAATAATGTCTTTGCTTCATTACTCATCCTGATTTCAATATTTCTAAGGGGGATGTATTTTGCTATGTCTCATCTCAATCATTTCCCAAAGCTTTTCAGGGTTAGAATAGATCCAAATCTTTTTTTTTAATTGAAAATTTTTGAAAAAAAAGCTTTTACAAATATTTACCTCCCCATCCCCACTCTCCCCTCCCGAACCCAACCTCCCCAACCTCCCCCACCCAACTTTCCAGAACAAATACAAGGTATAAATCTTTAACAAAGATGTTCTAAAATAAACTTAAAAAGAAAGTTAGTATCATCTTTCATTTGAGCTTTAACTCCTCTTTTGTTAGGCTAACTCTAAACAGATTATATCGTTCCTTGCTTTTTGAGTCATAAACTATCTGGAATTTCTTAGCCTCGTATTTATTTTGAATATAGTCAATCCATCTTCTCCACTCCAGTTTATATTTCTCACCTGAGTGGTCCTTAAGATATTTTAGCCATCTCTGCTAAGTTTGTTACTTTTAATGTCCATTCTTGAATAGTAGGTAAATACTTCTTCTTCTTCCAGTATTGCGCCACCAACAATCTCGCTGCTGTTATTAAGTACAAAATCAAATTAATCTCTATAACAGTACAATCAGTAGTTATGCCTAACAGGAATAACTGAGGAGTAAACTTTATCCTTTTTTAAAGAACATTTTGCATAATCCACCGTATTTTTATCCCTTAAACTTTCCTAAACTCATCCTCCCGACAGTATTGGCTTTCTCTTCCTCGCTCCTAGGCAATCTTTCCTCTCCGTTTGCACGCTGAGTAACAGACGAAGGCTCCTTGTTAAAACTCCGACTTTGGAATTCTTGGCATTTCTTAGGGATGAGCATTCCTCT